CGCAATGTTTCATCGTCAGCTCTTCGAGGAGATTTTACGGCTCAGTGTTAACAACAGGGACCCTGCCGATGCCATGGCGGCGGGCGCGGTGGAGGCCTCTTTTAAGTGCTTAGCTGCAGCCCTGCTAGTCCTGACCGAGTCCGGCAGGTAGGGCTCGGAGAGGGGCTCGGAGCCAGCCTTTGCCATGGCAAAACCACACTGTGTTCTAACACTGCAGGAATTCAGCCCGTGCTGGCCTTGCATAACCGCTGTGGGCTGAGCTGACTTGTGCCAGGGAGGGACCCCAGCAGGCAGGAGCAGAGCGAGAGTGTCTGGCAGTTGGCATGAGTGTCACCTGAGTGTGGGCACGGCAGGGCGAGGTGCCAACATTTCAGAAAAAAATGCCTGAGAAATCAAATGGTTCCTCTCCAGGGTTGTGCTGTTGGGGTGGCTGAGCGTTGAGGCGTCACTCCGGCGTGTTGAGCTCAGTCTGGGCTCACCGCATGGTGACAGTGTTGCTGTGCCACCTTGTGACAGAGCACCTCGCCCTCCCTGTTGCTGCCTGAGTGGTGCTGTGAGTGTTGTCATCCCGAATGCGTGTTGCTCTTATAGATTGCCCGGGAGGCCGAAGCCGCCATCTTTCACAGGCAGTTGTTTGAGGAACTGCGCCGCCTGACCCCCCTCAACTGTGACCCCACCGAGGCCGCTGCTGTTGGCGCTGTGGAAGCGTCCTTCAAGTGCTGCAGCGGGGCCATTATTGTCCTCACCAAGTCTGGAAGGTAGGAGGGGACAGGTTCCCCCAGATCAAGCAAACTATGTGACAGGGTTGGGGAAGGAGGATCCCAAAAACATGGCCTTGAGAGAGCGGTGGAGCCTAGTTCTGGCAGTGACTGGGAGCCCAGGCCTGCCTGCGGTGCTGGTCTCTTGTTGATGGACTCAATCTGTGTGCTCTGAGTTCCTCAGCCTGTGTCTGCCAGCGTGGCACCAGCTCCGAGCCCAGCTTCCCCTCGCTGCCGTGAGTGGCAGCTCTGCCAGCGGCGCCGGCTGGAAGAGCCAAGGGAAAATAAGTGTTGCAGCTCCAATTCAAACTTCATGGCAAGAAACCATCAATGTAACAGTGAGGCAGAAGTTCAATGGATGTAGAATCTTTTTTTTTTTTTTTGAATCAAAGCCTTGGTCTTTCATAGGATCTACATTATTGGTCCTGCTTGCCTGAGCCCAAGAGGCGAAGAGGGACTGTGTAGCCTCTAGGGTTGTTAAGGAAAGGGAAAGCTTTGGAAATTTCCTCTTTCAGGCTTCCTTGTGCCTGTCTGCGAATAATCTCTGCACAGGCAAGTGTCTGGCAGGCACCCAGGTGAGCGATATGCTGGAGTGATGTAGTTTGGGATTTTCTATCCAGCAATGGTGACAGCTGCCCAGCAGACCTGTTCTTCCAGTTGTGAGAAGGCAGCTGGAACCTCATGGATCGGCTCTTCCATATAGAGTAATCAGGCTGACCCCTCCCAATGCATGTCTGACCATAAGTCTCAGGCTGCTTTCTTGAAGAAAATCAGGATTTCTTGCCCTTTCGCACCAAAGCAGTAGAGCAGCAGCAGAGGTATGACTCTGTGTGCTGGGCACAACCTGTCTGAAGACCTGGACCATCAGTAAAAATCCTTCACCTAAATTTATGGCTTAAAATGATTTGGAGCAGCCACTTTGTGCAAGAGGTGAGGGAACAACAAGTGCCGAGTTCTGGTTACCCTCATGCTTCTAATGTATCTTTGCCAGGGTTATAGCCTTACACTTGACCTTTTTAAAGAGAATTTGAACTTTCACCTTTGAATATTTTTAGCTGTGGATTCAATTAACCCTTGGAGTACATGGATCTCCTGGAGCTCCTGGGAGGTGGCTTGGACAGTGTGGGAAGGATTGTCTGAGAGCTGGCATGTGTGGTTGGGGTGTTTGGAGCATCTGCTGCTGCCTGCTTTGAGCAGCAAACTGTGTGGCTGAGCTTGGTTCCACTAAACAAGGCTGCAAAAGCGAGTGGAGATGCTGGCATGGCCCTTGGAAAGATGGAGCTGTAGATGCTGTGGCCTTACAGTTTGAATCTGTCTGTTTGCAGATTTGCCCAGGGAAAGGGAAGCTGTAGTCCCCCCCAGGGTGTGCTGCTCTATTTTAAGGCATTTTAAAGCCTCTGTGCCCAACTTCCCAGTATAAATTTGGGGCTCTGTTGCATTTGCTTCCCGTTGGGTGCAGGAGCAGAGCTGTGTGTGGAGCAACCAGCCTGCTTGCTGCTTCAGCAGGTGGCTGGGAGGCAGATGGCTTCCTCCATGGCACGCTCTGGGGAGTGCTGCTGGCACCGGCTCTTTCCATCCCAGAAACCGGGAGCTCCTGAAAACAGAGGGAGCTTGCAGGGACCTTGGTTGAGATGCCAAGGCCTGCTAGGAGAGGCTGGAATAAATGGCGCCTCGCCAGCTTAACATAGCAACAGAGACAAGGAAAGGCTTGTCTGGGGACCAAAACACCCCAGTGGCACTTGCTGAACTGGGAGGCGAGGTGGTGTCCGCCCAGTTGCCTAACTGGGAATTCAGCTGTGTCAAGCTGGTGGGTGAGTGGCTCTTAGCTGGCATCTCCTCGTGGAGATGGTCACCAGGGTGGCCATCCCTCATGTCCCTGCAGGGGTTCCGGGGAGCCCTTGAGGGTCGCTTGTGCTCCCGCTGGCCATACACAGTGTCCTCTCCGTCCCCTCTGGTGGCAGTGCCAGCACGTGGGGCTCCACCGGGTGCGTTCTCCCCGCAGGTCGGCACACCTGGTGTCGCGGTACCGCCCGCGTGCCCCCATCATTGCCATCACCCGCAATGAGCAGACGGCCCGCCAGGCCCACCTGTACCGCGGCATCTTCCCTGTGCTCTGCAAGGACCCCGCCCAGGACGCCTGGGCTGAGGACGTGGATCTGCGCGTCACCCTGGGAATGAATGTCGGTGAGTGAGGGGGGCCCTGAGCCCCCGTGTGGGGCTTTGGGGGTGAACGTGGGCACTGGTGACAGGGAGAGGAACTGGCTGCCTGTGTGCTAACCAGATCCCATTGGGAAACCTGTGGTGGTTGTGTGAGCTGCACCGCATCTGATTGGGAAACAGGGCATCGGTTTTGTCACAGCTGCCTCAGAATGGGTTCCTGCAGAAGATTGTGTTTGTTTTAAGGTGGTGAGTGATGGAACTGTGATACTCACTGCTCTCAGAGACAAGGGAAACCTGGAGCGGGGTGACTGTTCTCCAGCCCCTCCAAATCCTACGTTGTGGAATTCCAAGCTCTCTGCTGGCAGATAACCCCAAAGCAGATAGGTGGGCAGCAGGAAGTGGGGGGGATGTCTTTATACCCTCCAGGAGCCTCGACTGCTGTGGGGAGCCTTGGTGGCTCAGGGAGCTGGTGACAAGCGGGTGAGAGGCAGGGTGGGACCTGGGCTCTGACCCTTCCCTCTTCTCTCCCAGGCAAAGCCCGTGGGTTCTTCAAGAGCGGCGACCTGGTCATCGTGCTGACGGGCTGGCGCCCCGGCTCCGGCTACACCAACACCATGCGTGTGGTGCCCGTTCCCTGAGCACTAGACTCAGCCTTCCCTTCCCCTGCCCACCTCCCTTCCCACCTTCCCTCCCCGTCTCCCCTTGCATTAGACCAGCCATCGCTTGCGCTGTTCTCCTTGTCCCTAGAGTGGATGTAGGTTGCTAAACACCACCCAGTGCAGCAGCAGCAGGGGCAAGAGACCTTAAATCACTAAAAGAAATATACTTGAAGTGTTTAGTTTTTTAAAAAACCTCTCCCCCGTAGTGAAGTCCTGCCTTGATGTGTGTTGGAGTCGGCATAGGAGGTTCCTGGTGACTGTCCTCAGGGTGTAAAATGTCCCTTTCCTGGCCCTGCTTTGGGGGGTTGGGGAAGGAGAGAGGCGAAGTGTGGTCAGCAGTTCCGCCAGACCCCTCCTCGCTCGAGGCAAGCTGCTACTCACCCCCTCCTGTGGGGGCCTCACCTCCCCAGGCCCAGTCCCAGGTGAATCCAGCCCCCTCTCTCGTTATTTTGGGCATGGGGGCAGGAGGAGGGTGTTGGCTCCGTGCAAGAGCTTCCTGTGCTCCCCTACAGCGTTGTCTCCTATGTTAGTCGTGTCCCCCCCACTGCCCCAGAGCCCCCCTCCTCACCCAGCACTCCGATGGGCCCTGGGGTGGGAGAGCACAACTGTCTATCAATAAAGAGAAGCTGAAGCACCTGCTGGACTGGTCTGCTCCTTGGTGGTGTCTGCAGGGATTTGGGGGCTCTGGTGGAAGGGTCTGAGAGGTCTGGAGGGGATGGGGGGTCGAGGGGAGGAGTTTGTTAGGGTTTAGGGGGTCTGAAGGGGCTAGGAGTTCCAAGGCATGGGGACATCTATCAGGGTTGGGAGCCCAAGGGAGTGGCCTGGGGGAACGGGGGGGGGGATCCTAGGGAGGAGTCTTGAAGGGGTTGGGGTGTTATGGTGGAGGAATCTTGAGGGGGGGGCCTTTGGCGTCCCGGCCGCGGAGGAGAGAGCGAGGGCAGCCCGGGAGCCCGCCTGTGCCGGTCGAGGTCGCCGCTGGAGCGCAGCGGTCCCTTTAGGAGGCGGCTCCGCGGGCCGTGCGAGCGCCCGGGCCCCGCCCCTTCCCCGAGGGGCGTGGCCTGTGCGGGGGCGGTGCTCAGCGGCGGCGCGCGGGAGGGGCGGTGCCTTGCCGAGGGCTGCCAATAAACGTGAGGAAGGGCGGGGCCGAGCGCCCGATGACCAATGGGCGAGCGGCAGGGGCGGGGAGAAGCGTCGTGTGGCCAATGGGTGGGCGCCGTGGCGGCGCGAGGAGGCCGGGGCGCGCGGGGCATGACGGCGGCGCGCGGGGCCGCGCGCAGGTACCGGCGGGGGCGGGAGGGGAGGGCAGGGGGACTCCGGGAGTGAGGGGGGGCCGGGAGTGAGGGGGGATCAGGACCAGGGCTCGGGACTGGGGCCCCTTCCCTGGGACCCCTTCCCTCCCGCCGCGGACCCGGTGCTGCCCCTCGGCCTGTCCCGGCCGGCGGCGCCGCGCTGAGGGGAGCGAGGAAACACCGACACACCCCACCCCTGAGGGGACGGACCTGGCCGGGCGCTTCTCGCCCGGGACCCCCCGGCTCCGCGTGAGGGAGCGCCCAGCGCGGGTGAGGGCGGGACCGGCCCCGCGAGTGCCCCGGGCGCGGCCCCGGCGGTGTCCGAGCTCCTACGGTCCCTCCGTGCCTCGCACACCCCGCCGGACCGGGGCCGCCTCCCCGCGGGGTCCCTCCGTGCTCCCTCCTGTTCCTCCCGTGCCGCGGGGCGTTCGCAGCCGCTCTCGGTGAGACCCCGCTCCCCGGGCGCTGCGGTGACCCCGAACCGGGGGGTCTGGGCTGAGCCCCGGCCGTGACCCCCCGGCCCCGAGGCGGGAACACCCGGGACGCGCGGGGGCACCCGCGGAGCTCCCTCCGGGCCTGACCTCCCGCTCTCTCTGTCCCTCTCTCCTGCCAGCGCCACTCGGCTCCGGCCGTTCCCCACCAGCATCCCGGGGTGGCTCCGCTCCAGCTCCGACACGCGGGACTGAAATGACCTTGGACGTCGGGACCAAGGGCAGCTCTCTGGATCCCGCCCGGGCTCGCTCGGGCCGCGACCGCCCGCCCGCCGGAGCCTCCCTCCACCTCTGAGCCTCCTGGGGATTTTTGGGAGGCGGGATCCCCGCCCGGCTCGCCGCGGCCCCCCCTGCGCGCTTCCCCGGCCCCGGGGAAGGGATCCAGCGAAAATCGCCCGCCGACGGAGGGCCTCTCGCCGGACCTTTTCCAGGCTGGATCCCAGCGCCGCGTAAGGGCAGGGACACAGCGATCCCGAGGGAGGGAGAAGCACCGGGACTCGCCTGCGGGTTTCGGGGAGCCGGTGTGGGTGGGGAGGGGGTGTCTGCACTGGGCAAGGAGGCAGCAGGTCGCTGGATTGTTTTCCCTTTCCCGTCAACTCCTGCACTTACCCACTCTGAAGAGCTCTGCACTCTGACTGTTTTTATGCCACTTGTAGTTTGGGACACTTGGGATGGTGATTTTCCTGCACAAGCAGCTCCTTGCTGAACAAATTTCATTAGGAGAGTGACAGCGTGAGCTGCTAGAAAGTGTTTTCCTCACTGTGCCAGCACTGGAAGTGGCTCTTGGAAGGGAAACCTCCATGTCACCTGTGCCTGGAGCCCAACCTTATCTTATCCCATGTTCCTGAACCCCAGAGCTGTATCCTTGATGCATCTGGGAGCCAGGATGGAGCAAGATCTGGAGAGGGGAGACAAGGCAGCTGCTGTGATGTTCCTTTTGGGGCTGAGGATGCTCCTCACAGCCCCCAGACCCTTCCTAGAGCATCCCAATGCCAGCACTGTGTCCAGGACTGTCTGACCCAGGAATTGTCCCTGGTGTTGGCCATGAGGGAGACAGAAAACTGGGAGGGGACCATGCAGCACTTCCAAGTTCTCTCCAGCCTCTGTTTTTTCTCATTTTAGGGGATTTATGTGTGTTTGGGGATGCTGGGGGATTTCTGATGCCTTCACCTTGAGCAGGGGGTGCCTCTCCCCAATCCCTGTGTGGTGCCCCTTGGTGTCAGCCCTGCTTAGGGATAAATCGGCTCACCCGGATTAAGCAGTGCAATAGCTTGGGGATTTAAGGGATGACGTGAGGGAAGCTGGAGTGGGCTGAGCTCTGGAGAGGGATGCTCCAGATTGAGGCAGAGCCCATTTTTCCTGCACGTGAGAAGGGCAGGTGAAATTTTTGGTGCCTCCATGATATGAGTTTTGGCTTCAGGGCAGCGTGGCATCACCTGGCAGAGGGTGTCCGAGGAATCAGGCAGGGGAAACGCCTTTTGGTGCGATGCCAAGGCATGGTATTTTGGTGCTTCTTGTCAGTAGGGTCTCCCTTCCTTTCCAGACACATCCTTTGACGTGAGCTCCTAGAAACAACCTCTGCATGTTCATCCTGTCCCAGCGGTGCTTGGACTCCAGGGCTGTACCAGCAGCTCTTTGCCAGCGCCGGCTGTGGGGATCCAGGAGCTTGTTCCCAGCCTGTTCCCAACCACATGGCACCAGTGACTTGTGTTTGGTTCTCCTGCACCCCCATGTATGTGCTGCATGTTGTGGGAGCAGCCCCTTGCCTCCAGCTGGGATTCAACCTGACTCCATCACATCCAGGCAGTGTTTTGGGCAGGGCCCCAGGCTGTGGGGGCTCATGTGGCTTTACCTCTCAGCCCATTTGGGCATGTCAGGGTCCAGCACCCCCATCCTGGCTTCTCCCTGAGCCTGGGGGGGTTATTTCCATGGATCATCATTCAGATGATCCCCTTGGAGCAGGAGCAGGGTGTGTCTAGGGATGTACAGGCAGCAAAAGAGCCACTCTCTGAGTATAGGAAGTTTGGGTTGGCTTCTCTGCCCGGGCTCTGCCGCAGTGCCATGGCATTATCCTCGTGGGCACTGGGATATGCTCCAGCTCCGCACTAATCCTGCCACCCTACCTGCGCCCCACCTGCTCTGGCAGCACCCCCTGCCCGGCGAGCTGAGCGCTTTCCCTGGAATCATTTCCTCTCCGCAGGCCTGTGGCAGTTTGCTGGCTCGGCCGTGCTGCTGGTCCCCTCGGATTGCTTTGGCTCCGGTGCCTCGGCAATCTCCGGTGAAGCGTCACCTCGGTGGCCTGGCAGGCGATAACCTGCCCGCGGCGCTGGGCCTGTGTTTACTTTACCTGCTGCGGCCGATAAGCGCCTCTGATAACATTCCCGATGGTAAACACTGCGCTGCAACGTGCGGGAAGCGACTCAAGGAGGGAGCTGGTGCCTGGCAAGGGCTCTGCCTCGGGAACACGGTGCTTTACCAACCAGGAGGAGCAGACCCTGGCTGAAATCCATCCCCCTGAGGAGTTTTGTAGACCTGTGATTGTCCCCAGCTCAATCTCCATCCCTTGAGGAGGAGAGGCTGTGCTTTGGACAGAGTTATCTGAGGGAACAGCAGCTCCTTGGCCGCTTGGTTGTGAGCACTGGGGAGTTCCTGGCAAAAAAGTACCTTTTTTTTTTCTCTCCACGTGACTTGAGAAATCACGGAAATATTCTCGCTGTCCTTGAGCAGCAGATTCCGACGTTTCTGAGCAGGCTGGGATTGAAGGGAATAGATTTAGAGCCCCAGTCCCCTCTTGCCCTTCCCCTCTGGGGCTGACGGGCGTCTCCTTGCAGTGCCACGCCGATGCATGAGAAGGCAGCTCCGCTGAAGAGCCCCGAGCCCAGGCACGGCCGCGAGAAGCTGGAAGTGTCCCACAAGCAGAAGAGTTTGGATTCCCTCGATGGCAGGTGAGGAGCAGCATCCCAAGGGCTATGTTTGAATGTTTTCTCTTTCCCCCCTGCTGTGGCATCCCTGCTGCCTCTGAGCCCCTGAATCCATCCACCATTGGGGGGGAGTGGGCACAGAGGGACCCTTCTTTGCTTTCCCCTTCAAATATTGAGGGTATAAAAGCAGGGAAGGGAGAGGGATGTGGGAAAGGGAATGCTGTTCCCACGGCTGAGGTTGCTGGGAGGATTTTGCTCTCTCTGTGGTTTGTCCCTTCATCTGCCCATGGGGTGGATGTGGATGGATGTCCCCGTGCATGGCTGAAGCCGAGTCCATCCTCCTGCCCAGGCACATTCCCCAATTCCTCTTTGTGCTTTCCCTCAGGAAGCCATGACCCAGCCAAAGCTGCCCATTTCCTGCTCCCAACCTGTCCCAGGCTGCTGCTGGGGCAGCTCTGGTCTCCTTCCTGAAGCTGGGATGTGTTTTGGGGACAGTCAACCCTGTCACAGTATGTCTCCCATCACTCCATGTCTCCCATCAGGAATCTGCCCTCAGCAGCCGTTACTGAGCCTCAGCAACGCCCAGTGCCACCATAAATCATGGAGACACCCAAAATGTGGCTTCCTGGGGTCTCTTCAATCCTTTACATGATTTCTTGTCTCATCTTGCCTCACATATGTTTAGGGAGCAGGCAAGAGACCCGGGGCTCTTCCTTACCTGGTGATTATTATTGTTCCTTCCAGCCTCCGCCTGAACGAAGCCCTCAAGGATGAGGACATCAAGAAATGCCACCGGGAAGTGGTGAGTCTTTGGCTTTAGAAGTGACTGGGCTGGTTTGTTGTAGCCTGTTGTCCCTGGAGGAGCCTGCCTGGGGTCTCAGCTGTAGGCTCAAGGAGCCAGAGGCAGCTTCTCGTGTGGGACAGAGGCTCCTGCCTGCAATTTCAGGGGAGCTGCTGATGGTTTTGTGTGGCCTGTGCTCTGCCATGCAAACACTTCATGATTTTCCATGCAGAGCAAAGGAAAAAATGGAAATGTTGACAGCTCAATTTCCATCCGTTCATACCTTTTTGGTTGTTCAAGTCTTGCCCAAAGCAGTTTTTTTGGTCTATCTACAGACAAGAGATGCTCTGAAAGAGGAAGGAATAACAGGAAGCAGTGTTTTGTCTTTCCCCATGAAGATAATGCAGGGGAAAAATATTTTTGGTTATCCAGGGGCATCTGGGAGAGTGACAGCGTTGGCAGTGGATCTGTGCTGGGGCCAGGGGGTATTTCTTGGTGGTGGTTGGAGGTGATAGCCCTCGTGTCCCCCCCACCGTGCCGGCGTCTCTCCGGGAGGTGTCTGAGCCAGCTCCAGGTGATGCTGAGCCTTGATCCTCTTAGGGCCTGGCTCATCCGGTGACAAGGTGCAGGGAGCGAAGGTGACCTTGTCCCACAGGCAGGAGGGCTCTGCCTGCGCTGCTGCCCACAAACCAGCCTTGCTGTGCCAGACTTCCCCGCATCCTGCCAAAGCAGCTCGTCCCTTGGAATTCACCGCTCCGTGGGCAGCACCCTGAGGGCAGGGGGCACAAATCTGCTGCACGGGACCGGTCGAGCGGATTTATGGGAAGCATTGAAGTGCTTTGGAGCTTTGGCTTCCCCACAGAAGTGTCTGAGGGCCGCCGTGCTGAGCCTCCCGCCGCGGTGCCGGCAGGCTTTGAAGCGGCGCCGAGAATATAAATAGCTGGATGGCGCGTCGCGATGGGCGCAAAGCAAGTGTTGTCACCGTGTCCCGGATAAGGGGAGAGGAGGAGGAGAGAAACCGCTGGGCAAAATAAACTGCCTGCGGATGAGCCCGGCAGAAAAGCAGCTCCTCGCAGAGGCTCAGCAGCCTCCTTAGATATTCCAGGAAATGTTTATCCGGGAGGATGGCACGGCGTTCACCAGGGGCTGGGTCATCCGACCTACCTCTAACTCACTGGGCCCCCCGGCCCCAGCCGGGTGGGACCCCCCTGCGCCGGTCCCGGGTGCGGGCAGGGGGAGGTTGTTGCGCAGGAGGGTGATTTTTGGGTCTCCTTATCAGCAAGGTCACCGGTTAACTTTGCTCTGCTCTGTTTTCAGGCCGCTAGCAAGTACAACTCCCAGTACCACAAGCTGTTCAAGGACATCCCGACGGAGGAGAGTGTGCTGAAAGGTGAGTGGCAGGGTGAGGGACAGGGGTGGAAGCGGCAGGATCCGGCACATGCTCTGCCATGGCCCTCTCTCTGCCTTGCAGTTTGCTCCTGTGCCCTCCAGAGAGACATCCTCATCCAGGGAAGGCTTTACATCTCCCCCAACTGGCTCTGCTTCTACGCAAACCTTTTCGGGAAGGACATCAAGGTAACGTGGGGACCAACTCACCCCATCCCATGGGGCTCAGAGCCACAGCTTATCCCCTCCTGCACCCAAATACCACCAAAATCCCTGTCAGAAGGCTCCAATGGGAAGGGGAGCGTGGCTGTGCCCCCTCTCCGATCACCTGCAGTGTCAGCCTGAGGAAACCAAATATTGGTTTGGTTTAGATTTCCCTGATGCAAAACCTCCCACCAGCCACGGCAGCATTTGAAGGAAGATCAAAGGTTTCAGGGAGGGGGGAGAGATTTGAATCTCTCTTGGCTTTTCTTCTTGATTTACCATCTGATGTTTCCCCATTAGTCTTGTGGCTGACGGGGATCTTGGGGAGAGACAACTTCCTTTAAAACTGGGCTGGAGGACTGAATTATTTATACCCAATGCTTTAAACAAATATCTGATGGAGGCTCAGGGTTTCAGCAAAGTTGCCCTGCCAAAAATTACATCCTGCCTTACTTTTCACCCTCCCAGGGCTTGCAGGGGGGGCTCTTGTGTTGGGTCTCAGGGAAACTGGGTGATGCTTGTGCCGTGTCCATCCCGTGTCCTCTTGCCCTGCAGGTTGTGATCCCGGTGGTCTCCGTGCAGCTGATAAAGAAGCATAAGACAGCTCGGCTGCTGCCCAACGGCTTGGCCATCACCACCACTGCCAGCAGGAAGGTAACACAAACACTGACAGCACTGGATGCCCTGCTCCAAGCTGGGTGTGATTTGGGAGCAGGGAACGAAGAGATTCCCATTCCTGGTTGGGAAGCGAGCGCTGCTCTCCATGCTGGCTGCCAGCCAGGGCAAACACCCTCTTGTTCCTGAATTTCACTTTGCTTTGCTTTTGTTCCTGAATTCCGCTTTGTTTCTGGACGAAGCAAAGCCCAAGTGAAACTCAGACGAGCCTGACAAATCCCTGCTGGGCTCACGTAAAACCTTTAAACTCCTTAAACACAAGCAGTGAAAGGGCTTGGACTGGCATTTAGCCGAAGCTGGTGGAAAACTTGGATACAGGGCTGAATTTCCAGCTCTTAAATCCCGTTGGATGTTGTTGGCTGCAGTGAGCTGACGTAGTGGGTCCGAGTCCTTGCCTGCCTGGGTGCTGCTGCCAGCCCTGTGCGTCACCCATCCCCTGCCAGGGAGGGGGTTATTCTTGTGGGATTTTGGGAGAAGATTATTCCTGCTGGATTTTGGTAGGGGGTGGCACAGGGCATTCAAAGCCATGTGTGGCCACCCTGCACGTCATCTGGGTTCTGCATTGGGCAGAATCTGGCCCCGTGTTCCCCTCCATCCCTGGGGATGTTTTCCATAGGTCGCAGCCCTGTTTCCTGCCATGTCCCTCTGGGCTGAGCATGGGAAAGCCCGTAGGAACAGCAGCGGAGTGAAACTGGCCCCAAAAAAATCTGGTCCAGGTTTTAGCAGGCTGCAAAAATAACAGTAGGGAAGCTCCGCAGGGAAATGCCTGCAGGGGAACACGGCTCCCAAAAAAGGGGAGATTCAAGGGCAGGACGTCTCCGCCTGTCCCTGCCTGTGGAAAACCGGACTCGGGATGGGGGGAGTCTGTCCCAACAGCTTCTCACTTTCTCTTGCAGTACATCTTCGTGTCCCTCATCTCCCGTGACAGTGTGTACGACGTGCTGAGGAGAGTCTGCACACACCTGCAGGTACTCCCTGTTCCACATCCAACGGCTGTTCCACATGTACACGGCCCTGGGGCTGAGCAGAGCTCTTCACCACTCATCTCCAAGGCTTTGGAATGCTTCCAAAGCCCTCCCAGTTCCAAGTGTCCTCGCTTCGCATCAAGGGATGGGAAGAGGGGCAGGATCCATGCCCTGGGCACATCCTGTTCCCATGGGCCTTTTCTGGGTCACGGATGAGGCAGAGCCCAGAGTTTCTGCTCTCTCCCAGGGCGTGTGTATGAATTATTTATAATCTGGTAGTAATACTAGTTCTGCCACTCTGCACATTGCTGTCTTTTGCCCAGATCTAAAGTTTGAAGGGGAGGAAAAATGGTAGAAAGTAAAAAAAATTTAAATCAAGCGGGAAAAGGCACCCATCAGCCCTTGAGCTGGAGAGGGGGACTGTGGGGACCTCTTCTCTCTGCCTTTGAAGCACTGGGAAGCGATGCCAGAGCCCTGCCCCGCCCAGGAGGGTGTCTGCCAGCTGTGCCGGGGTGGTGATTTGCGTGACTCAACCCTGTTGCCAAACTGGGGGATTTATTTTTTGAAATGTGCTGGGCTCTGCCCAGATATTCCCTTTTTTTTTTTTTTTTTTCCCTGATGGTTTATTCCCTGTACTGGGAGCTGAGGGCAGTGCAGGAGCCCCCAGCTCAACCATGGCCCTGTTGGATGTTCAGTGATAGGAAGCAGCAGTGCAGTGCCCTGTCTTCTGGGTGCTCTTCTTCAGCCCCCAGCTCCCTGTGATTGCAAGTTTTAAGCAGCTGCTCTTCATAGACTCAATAGAAATGCCAAAATTCCATTTTGTGGCTCAGGTTGAAGCAGGGAGAGGCAGCACCATAACACCCGTTTCTCTCCCTGCTCCAGGTTTCGAGTAAGAAGAGTTTGAGTCTGAAGGAGCTGTCGGAGGAGCCGGACACCGTGTCACTGGTGAGGTTGAGGGCAGCTCTGGGAGAGGGAAAGACCTTCCTGAACTCATGCTGTGGGTGGGAAGTGCCTCCAGGTCCCCTCAGTTTGAACAGCCGCTCCCAGGGGCAGAGTTGGTTCTCCCCCCTTGGTGCTGTCAAAGGCCGTGTCAGGACGTGCCTGTCGCCTTTGGAGCTCATCCTCTAGGATCCTCATCCCCACACTTGGCAGGAACAGACGGGTCAAGAGGACCTGGCTGAGCACAGCTGATAACTTGGCCTGTTGGTCTCAGGGGTCCCTTTATAGACACAAAAACTTCAGAGTGATGTGGAAAATGCTGCAGCTCTGCTCCTGATGGCCAGTGCTGTTCACGGCCATGAAGGTGGGTGACAGGCTGGGAATGTGGTTGAGTTATCCAGAAACCTTTAGCCGAACCATGGTGTGATCCAGCGTGCACAGGGGCCACATCCTGCACCTTTGGAGCAGGGTGTCCTCAGGTCTGGTGGCCCTGAGCTGAGTGCAGGAGGTGACAGTTGGGGTGCACCAGGAGGTGACAGTTGGGATGACCCCAATGTTTTGTTGGTCTGGTGGATCCCAGGGGTTAAAGATTCATTTCAAGTGGTGAACTGGGAGCTATCCAGGCTTGCAGCACGTCCTGGTGCTTTGGAGGGACGTAGCCCTTCAGCAGCTCCAGCCCTGGGGACTCTGGTGGGGGAACCCCTCTCTGTGCTGGCTGACTCTGAACATGATTTGGTGCTTTTTGGGGGCACTTCTTTGCCCTTCTGGGGCAATGCCAGGTGGAGAAATGGAGAATGCTGGGTGACCGCCCTGAGTTTCAAGGGGTGGAGGAGGCTGCAGTTGGTATTTGGGTCAGGTGTGGGGTGCGTGGGCAGGTCCACGGCAGTAGGAACCTGCATCCCCATGGAGCCATCACGGAGGACAAGTTCCCACTTAGGACGATGGTTTGGATGTGCTGGTGCTCAGTGGAGTTGCCATAAAGTTTGGGTCTGAATCCTTGTCACTGCCGGGGAGAACCCTCTGGCAGTGCACGGCTCACCGGGGCTGTTCCCACAGGAGGTGATCGTCCCTGAGGGCAAGTGGAGGAAGGTGTCACCCACCTCGCTGTCACTGTCACTGCCAGATGCCAACTACCAGTGCATCCACCGGACCTCTGTCAGCAGCCTGAGTGCCAAGGAGAGCTCCTTCACCTCCGAGGAGCCCCTGGTTTCAGGTGAGGGCAGCATCTGACCTGGGCACACGGGGTTGTGCCCTGTTCTATACATGGTGCTGGGCATAAACCTACATAAATATGTGTTCATCCATCCTGCGCTCTCCTGGAGGGGAATTCTGCCTTGTAGAGGAGCAGGGCTGAAGCTGGGAATCAATGATGGGATCCTGGAGATGGGATGGGATCTTCTGGCTGTGGGGTCTGAGCCCATGAGGGAGAAATGTTTGAGTTTTTCTGGTTGCTGGAGTGGCAGGAGCATCTGCCAAGCGTTGCTGTGCTGCGGACTGTGGGTTTGCCTTTCAGAAAGTGCAATAAACACCGAGGAGGAGCTGGAGGTGGAGCAGAGCTGTGTGGCGGAGCTGAGACCCTCCGACTACCAGCTCCTGAAGATCTTCATTGTGCTGTAAGTGCCGAGGGTGGCGCGGGGGAGCTAGGGGTACCCTGGGAATGTCAGTCTCAGCTGAGCGCTTGGCTTGTTCCTCTGCTCCCAGCATCTGCCTCCTGGTCGTGTCCTCCTCGTACCTGGCATTCCGCATCTTCCGTCTGGAGCAGCAGCTCTGCTCCCTGAACCGGGACTACCTCTCCCGTGGGCACAGGAGGTGAGGCACCCGTGGGGACACTTTGGGGCAGATGGGTCACACTATGGAAGACTCAAGGGATGTGGTGCAATGAGCAGTGGCTGAGCTCCACGACAGGTCCCTGGGATGCTTTGTCCCTTATCCCATGCCTGACAGACCCCACAGTGCCATCCCCATGCCAGGGATGATCCCATCAACTGCTGGTCTGAGTGACTGTGGGCAGCTCTGCTGTCCCTGAGACTTTAAACCTTGGGAAGAAGTTTCCTCATAGGTTTGGGGCTCTCCAGTTGGAGGAGCATCAGGACATCTCATTGGAGTTGGGCTGTGCTCTGGGGCTAATGAGACCAAGGGCATCAGCAAGGGATGGACAGGAGTGAGATCTCCTTGGGTGAGGCACAGCAGGGAAGCTCCGGGATGGGTTACGGAGCCTCTGCAGTCACTCCCCCATCTCACCCCACTTCCTGCTGCAGGTGACTGTTACCCTGGTGCTGGCTGAGGACGGACTCCAACAGTGACACCCTGCCTGTGGATCCCGGTGCTGCGACCTCCCAGCCGTGGCTGTTACACGTGGCCCGGCTTTCCCTCGGCTGGTAAAATGGGACCAAGTATTTTCTCTTTTCCCATGGGCACTTGCTCCCAGTGGGACTTCCCAGCCAGCTCCTGGCCACCGGTGCCAACTCCCCATCCCACTGGAAACCCGTTTTCTCCCTGGGACGCTGCTGTGCCGTAGCACTGAACGATGGCTCGGGGCTGCTGAGCACTTGGACCTCCCCTTAGGACTTGCTGCTAAAATGGACGCTGGTTTTTATTCCTGGCATGGGTTTTTTCTAGTTGAAAGATGACCTTGGGCTCATCGGGAACCCCCAGAAATGTGGATGAGTTGCTGTTGCTGCCCTGGGTGAACCCACTTGTTTGTCCCTGTCTCAGTACCCCTGGGAATGTGCCCGGAGGAATGGCCCCAAATACAGGGATCTGTGGGGGTGGGAGAAAGGGGCCACCAGCCCTGTGGGGCATCATCTATCCCACACCCAAGGGTGAGGGTCCAATCCAGGGCTCCCCAGCCCTGCTTTCATGGAGCACTGGGCCATCTCAGCATGGGAAGTATGTGTGTGTCCCCTGCAAAGCACTTTAGGGTCCCCCAGACTGGGTGACCACCCCTGGCACTGGGGCCAGACCAAGGCTTCATTAGTCTCGCTCACCTCGTTAAGATGTCCGGAAAGGAGCCCGTGGCTGGCACTGGTGAACGTCCTGGATCTGTGCCCTGGTTTGTGTTAACCTTGTCACCACGTGGAGCTGAGTGCTGCAGGATTTGTCCCGCAGGATTTGTCCCACAGCCTCCCCCTGGGAGCACACTGGGGCGGCAGGTGATACCTGTGATTCCCTTGGGTTTTCTTTACTGTTTTTGGGGAACTACAAGTGCTGACGGGGCCAAATCCCTGTGCCCTGGGGGAGAGTTTGTTGCTCGCTCTGGGCTCGAAATGGCTTTTAAATGGAATGAAAAAATGAAAATAAACCCTGGATTTTCTAGCACGTGGCTCTCTGCCACCAGTGTCCTCGCAGTGGGGATGGGCTGTGAGCCCCAAAACCAGGCATCCCAAAATCTGCACTGTCCTAGAGCCCCTTCAGAATATGGGTGACATGGGGACAGCCCTGTCCTCGAGTGGGATGTTATTGCACTAGGTGGCAGCAGAGACTGCGGGATGGGACACGAGCCAGTGGCAGGGCCACCTTGGGGACAGCGGCTGCCTGGGAAGGGAGCTGGGCTGTAGCCCCATCCTGCAGGGGGAACAGGATGAGCATTCCTCCTCCTCCTCTTCCTCCTTGAGCATCCACAACCCAGTTCCAACCCCTCTCCCCAGCCTGGCCCATGCAGCAAAATGCATGTAAATGGGTGAAATGCATGAAAATGGCCCAATTTGAAAGCCACAGTGGTGTTGGCTAAGCAGGGACTGGAGTGGTGTCACCCATTTTTGGGGGATTTAGCATCCTGGGGTGCTGAGGGGGGTGATCTGGTTTCTTCAAAGCTCTGGATTTACAGGGCTGTCGGAGTCTTTGTTTCTGTGGGTGACCTGGTGGGTGAAAGGCGCCGTCCTGCCCCTGCCAGGGACTCACCCAGCTCGTTTTCCTGGTGCCGCAGCCCAGATGGGTTTAGGGTTGGTTTTCCTACAAACAAGTTGGTGCTCAATGGGTTCAACTCAAAGCGGGGCTCTTGACCCCAGAGCAGAGGTTTAGAGGTTGAGGATTGGGTGGGTTTTGGTCTGGCGTTCCAGCCTGGTTTTTTGGTGCTCCACAGCAGGTGTGTGGGGTCCCTTGTCATTGAGCCAGGAATGTGACAGTGGTGATAAAGAGCTCCTCTCGGGGCTCTTTGCTTCAGGCCAGCAGTGGAACAACCCGTGGGTGCAGTGACGGGGAGGAGGTTTGGAGGAGCACCAGGATGAGCTCTCGGTGTGCTGTTGGGGGGTCTCTGCTGCTGGTCACTGGTCACAAGGCTCCGGTTTTGTTTCCCAGCTGGTCTTTGCCCCCCGGTTGGTGTGTATCCCCTCTCCCAGTGACGCCCTGCTTGAGACTGTTTGCTTTTCTTTGTGTAAAGAAACAGCACATAAAAGCCTCAGGTGCAGGGCATGTCCTCAGGTGCAGGAAACATTCCTGGGCACTCACCTTGCTGGCTTGGGAACAGAGCTGAGGAGCACAGGGTGGTGCTGGACACGCACAGCCCCTGCCCTCAAATCCCCTCCCAGCCCTCCCCAGTGACCCCCACCATCCTGCCTTCCTGCCCCCTCTTGCCCTGTGCTCCTCCCCAGCCCAAACCAACCCCTAAAAACAGAACTGGGAGATTCAATCAGCCCAGAAGCTGCTGCCAGCTCCGCCCCAAGTCACAGCCCCTGTGCTGTGACACTCCCTGGGGCAGCGGGAGCCACGGCATTAGCAGGGACCTGCACAGAGGACGGGATGACGCCAGCGCATGGTTTGGTCTGAGTTTTATTCTGGATTTGGGAGCAGCAGTGACGTGGCTCCAGCACAGCCCATCAGAGTCCACGGTGAAACCCCTTTGGCAAGCAGCTTGATCCCATTTGAGCTCCAGCTGAGCAGGTTTTCCAGGGAGGGCTGGTGCTGGAGGGATGCCCTGGACCCCTGTGGGCTGCTCTCCTGTCAGGGCAGTGTAGGAGGGAGGGGAATGATCCCGACCTTTGTCTGGCCCCACCGCTTCCTGTGAGGGTGTAGTCGGGTGTTTTGGGGGAGCCTGGGCTGGTTTCTTGATTTTCTCTTGTCAGCAAGGGAAGGTTAAGCCCTTCATCCCCTCGGTGCTGTGCTGCTGCACACACCAGTGGGGCTGGGCTGGTGAGGAGCTCTGGGTTAAAAACAATCCTTCCCTTTCCTTTTCTGAAGGTTATATTTAACCCGGATTTCCTTGATCAGGTTGGTGTGCTGGGGTGTGGCTGCTCTGCCAGACACCACCTGAGCAACCTGCTCTTTGCTTCTCACCAAGTGAGAGATTATTCCTTATCCTGCAATGACATCTCAGTTCAATTTTTATTTCCCCCACTGCTAAGCCTGGCTTTAGCAAGAGCATCCACTCCAAGATCCCGTCACCCAGCATGGGAGGGGAAGTGGCTTGGTTTGAAGTGCATTAAGGACTTCAAGGAGCCCACAGTTATCTTTGGCTTTTATACCTCAAACTCTGTCCTTTTGTTCTCCCTGGTGTGGTTTTTTTTATCTCAAGTAATAGAACTGGTTTTGTCTTAGAGGCAGCAGCAACACTAATGAGGGTTGGGGAGCGCTGACAAACCCTCCCTGGATGGAGACGACCTAAAATCCTAATGAAAAACCCTAAGCTTTAAAGAGTGAGTGTTGCTTTTTATCTCAATTAAGTTTCTTTTCCTAGGATTGGGTTTCTCAGCTTCCTATTAATCTTCCAGCTGTTCAGAGTTGGGTTTTAATTTGCAGTAAGAGAAAGCAGGGGTGGGGGACAAAAAAATGCAGTGGCTGAGCAGCCTGGGAGCACCAGGCTGAAGAAAACTGACTTTGGTTTTGCCCTGTTCTTTAGTTAATCGTAGCATTTCCTTTGGAGTCTCATCTTTTGACATCTCAGCGTCAGGTTTTCAGGGGCACAAAATCCTGGTTACTAAATCCCAGACTGCTCCAATACCACTAGTAGGAGGCACAGACTAGAAATAGCCACGATAAAGCACTTGGGGGCTTGGGTTTAAAGGGCATTTTGCTAAACCTGTCTTGGAAGGACAATGCCTGGAGCCAATTAAAGCCACCTAAGGAGGGTGTGCTGCCTGCTGGGCACAGGTGAAGTCTGTTCAGCAACCTGTTTTGCCACAGCAATTAGTATAAAAATTCATCATCAAGAGGGTTTCTTTGAAAGCAAAGTGACTTTTGTCGTTAGAAAGGCCGGTGATTTCCAGAGGGGGCTAAGGCTTTTCCCGCAGGGAACGGGGTGTTTGGGGGGTGTAGCCATGCTGGAGGGGTTACATTCTTCTTCTTTGGGACAATTCTGTGCATGGGTATCTCCCTCAGGCACTGGGGGTGCTGCCTCAAGGACAGGGAAGGCAGTTTTTTGGGGGGCTGGGGGTGCATCCCCATCACTTCTGTGCCAGTTTTGTGATGAGAGCTCTCCACTCAGATCTCTTCTGTGTGATGTAGGAGGGGGTGAGGAGCTGCAGCCCCGGCTCGGGCCGGCCCCGGCAGTACGCGTGGCACAGGGCCTCGGCGTTGCAGATCACGTACATCCCGCAGTCGTAGCTGTTCTGCTGCGCCGGTGCTTTCTCCTCCACAAAGGTGGCTTTGCCCCCTCTTTTGCCCAGGAAGGCCTCCAGCTTCCCTGCCACCTGCCTGGCATGGGCAGAGTTGCATTTACTGTGGGAATCGTAGTGGGCAAAGCACTTCTTGTCCCTGAAATACACCAGTAGGCTCCAGTGGGTGCCCCCGGCAGCTTGGCTGGAGTTGTCATTGATGGGCAAGAACACCAGCTCCTTGCGGAGAAGGTCCAGCGGCTGGAGGAACACGGCTATTTCCTCCTGGCTGAGGGCACACTTGATGAACTGGGCCACCTCGGGGCCGATGAAACACACCCGGTGGCTGAACTCCTGGAACTGCTCGTTGGCGAAGTACTCGAAGGCGAAGCCGATGATGTGGTCGTTGAGCCAGTTCGGGGGCTCCAGCAGGGCCACGTCCGACTGCCTAAGCAGGCTGTCCATGTAGCTGAGCACCACGGGATCCATCCTGTGGCACTCCAGGGACCCTCCAGGGCTGGAACAGAGAAGGGCAAGAGGAGTTCAGGAACTGGATCACACCTGGGACACGATACAGCCCAAGAAACACCTCGAGTGCCTTCTCAGCAGCAGCAAGCCAGAGCCCAGGATTCCCAGACAGATATCTGAAGGACCATCAGCAGACGGGGGAGTGTCAGGTTGAGCCAGGCTCTTCTGAGCTCTGGGTTAGATCAACCTTGCTCTGTGAGGATCTGAACCTCAAAGCAAAGGGATTTCACAGCAGTTTGTGCTTTGGAACACTCACACATCTGCATGGAAACCAGACCTGAGCCAGGAGAAGTCAGATGGTGTTTGGGTGTTCTGGTGTCTCACCTTGAGAGTGACAGTCATGGGAATTCTTTGCACAACTGGTATTCCCTAAACAGAGCCTTTTTGGGGCTGTCTGACATACAGCCCCTTGCAGCACAGTGTGCCCCAGCTCTGAGCCAGACACACAACCTGTTCCAGGAGAACCTGCTGGGCCACCAGCACAGGAGGCACAGCCATGAGTAAGGAGCAACAAAGCCAAACGAGATCACAAACCAACCAGTTTCTGACCGTGGGAATCTTTAGGACAACTCTGCCTACTCAAATTAGGATTTAGGAGGAGGTCTTCCAAAGACAAACTTGAATTAACGCCCCTCTGTCCACCCTGGTTTTCCTTATGCTCTGACATCCCCCAGCCCTCCCAGGCTCCTCAGCTGTGGCAATGCACCCTCAGCCACCCACTCCTCTCCTGGCCAGGATGGAACTGTTTTGGCCTTACCCTTCCCTCAGTTTTGCCAAAGGCAGCATGAAACCATCTTCAGATTTCTGAAAGCCCCGTGTGAAAGCTCAAAACGATAAGGTCACTTTAATGTGATTCACTAGAAATAAGTCACTCATTTTCCATCATGACAGGGGGAAATTAAAAAAATGGAGTGTTGTGTTGTTTACGTGTTAGGAAGAAGTAGATTAGAATCATGAAAAATAACCCTTCCTGGCCTGGGATGCATAAATTAGGGATTCATCTTTCAGAACTCTTGGCCAGGTCCCAGAGCACATGACGAGTAAGGAACACAATGGATGAGACACAGGCCCTGTGGAACACGTCGGAAGGAAGGGCCAAGGTGAGTGTTTAGGGCATGACACAGCCCGTGAGAGAGTGTGTGTGTGTGTGTGTGTGTGTGTGTGTGTGTGTGTGTGCGCCGGTGGATCCCGGAGATGCCGAGCAGCAGGAGTCACCGGAGGAAGGGAGCAGCCCTTGTTTACGCTGAGCCAACACAATGGTATTTGGACACATTTCCGACCTAACAAGCTCCAACTATTTCCAAGTTCGTGGTGCAAATCCTTGCACTATAAAAACAGAAAATCAGAGTGAAATCCCTGTAACTTTGTAGCATCCCTTAACATAGTCTGCTTTAGAGGTGGACATCCTCCAAACATCCAGTTTGGGGGTTTAACAGGGGCAAGGCTGAAATACTTTTATGTGTGCCCATAAAATGCCCCGAATTTTCCTTTACAATGTGTTTTTTCTGCTTCATCTTCTCCTGGAGATGTAGAAGTCCAGCAAATAGCTTTCCACTCCAGTCCAAACAGGATTAGGGGCGAGGGAAGCATGAGTCCTGTGTTCTGTTCATTTTCCACTCTGCAGAAACATCATGTTTTTTTTTTTCCTGTCAAGACATTTGGCAGGTTCCTCCAGTCAGGAAGGAGAATGGCTCTAGCAAGTGCTTAATTGCCACGAGCTACTACTTTTAATTTTATTGCCATCTGGTATTTATGAAACTGCCTGTGGGTTCTGCAGGATGACTCACCACATGCAGCTCCAAGGAAAACCCTTGGGAGGCTCCGACGCCCGTCAGAGCCGGGGCAGGTGAGTGGCTGGAACAGCGGCTGGTGGGGCTGTGAAAAGCCATGGTGAGGTGGCTTTATTTGGGATAACCTCCCATTAAAGCTAAAGATGGAGCTGCAGAGAAGCCAGGATGGAGAGCTGAGCCTCTCTGACGCCAAGGGGGGGTTGAAATGCCATCGTGGATTGGGAGCAGCTCTGCACAGCCAGAGCCAGGACTTGCTTCCCAAAGGCCCAGGCACACTCTGTTCAGGAGTTTTCATAAAAGCAGGGATAAATACTCACACAGGCCAGGAACCTCTGCTGTAGGTGCCAACAAGAGTCTTGCTGGTTTGTTTTATTTGCACATCAGTAGCTGGGATTTGTGCAGACTCTCTGGAATCCTCAGCTCCTCCGAGGGATTTCAGCTGCCCCGTTCCCGGTGCTGAGATGTGAACACCAGGGTGAGAGAAAGGAGCATTTCAACACAAATGCTACAATTTCATTTATAGATTTGAAAATGGTGCTGTCGTGCCTCAATAGGGCAAGAAGTCAAGTTTCCCTCATGGAAGTTGTAATCTCACAAATAAGCCACCGTTGCTGGTGTGAGTTCGATCTGTGAACTGATGGGGCTCCTTTGTGTCCAGGATGCAAAGCCAAGCCTGTGTTTTCCAATACTTGACAAAAAACCACCCCAAACCTGTTATTTTCACACCATTAAAGACAACAACCCTCTGCAGGTAATTGCTGAAGACACTTGAGGGCCAGGGAATGAGACTCCTCAGTAATTGAGCGTAAATAGGTAGTGGTGGAGCAAAAGGAGTGCAAATTCAGGATGAGTCAGATTCCTAAAGTCTATTTTAATAAATTAAAGGTGCTAAGAACCTGCAGAGAGAATAGTTTAGAGTGACACATCACCAGAGTCCTGTTTCTAATTTAAAGAATATGGAGCTAAATACCAAAAATCACCTGGAAGATAACAAATCCAGACTCTACCAAGGAACAGGAGGGACAAAGATCAAGAGTAAAAATATGCACGATTTAACCACCAGACCATTCCCTTTTCCTGGAAATACAGGTTTTAGACACCATGTCTTGAGAGTTGTTAATGGGAGCGAGATCAGAGAAGGAACATCTCTTTTTACTTCTAGTGGGAGCTGGGCTGGGTGACACCTGAGCCTCTGGATTAATGTGGCTCCTGACAGAGCCAGAGAACAAACTCAAGGAAAATTAAAACCAGACAAGAAGCACAGTTGTCTCCTTTTTTGTTAAATATAATCAATCTCTCTATAGCTGTGGGTTATAATTCCTGTACAGTACCAGGACAACAGGTCCTGAATGCTGAAAAACATTCCCAGTTCTGTACAACAACACCCAAACTTCTCCATTCCAGACAAACTCCCCAACCCAGAGACATGCAGCTGCTCTGAGAACCAAACTCAGAACCTCTCTTGGTGTCCCAGAATCTCCTCGAGCAAGAAACCAAGAGCCACAACAACAACACCAGGACGGGGTTGGCCAAAGCCTGGAGTTCACCATGAACAGATCCAAGGAAAGGAACGGCTGAGGATGAGCGATGGCACCGGGAATGTCCCAGAGGAACCGGTGGAAACAGCTCAGCTCACCCAGACCACGTCAAACCAGCCACCAATGCACTCACCTCCAGAGAAGAGGTCAATCCAGGCAGCAAGGGGAATATTGTTTGCCTGAAAGACCTGGATGTCACAGGAATTTGGTCAGGAGAGGGAATTCGGTCAGAGGGAGGGATTTGGGGTGTCACACACCCCGTGAGAGGAGGAGCGACGTGCCCGAGCCTGACACCCTGACCCCGAGCCTGACCCTGATCCCGAGCGTATCCCGGCGCTCAGTTCCCGGGATCAGAGCGCATCAGCAGCCCCCGGGGAGCGCTCAGTCATCCCACCGCTTCGATGGGAATAAACGGGAATTACGGGGCGAGCGAAGGATCAGGGCCCTGCTGGGGACCCCCCCACCAGCACCGGGCAGCCCGTGCGCCCCGCCCCGTGCCGGTAACACCCCTCCATTTTTACCCACTCGAACCTTTCTCCCCTCTAACTCACGTTGACGCCTCCGGGTCCGGGGGCGACCGGCACCGATCTCCGACGGCTGCGGCCGGCGCGATCACCGGTCAGGACACCTTGCGGGCACCGTGTCCCCCGTATCCCCCCACCGTGTCCCCCCCCGTGTCTCACCCGCCGCCTCATCGCCCGCCACCGCCTCCCGGTTGCCGCGCGCTGCCGTAAAGCGGTCCGGCTGCCGCGTCGTAACGCCAGGGGGCGTGTCGCGGGGCCGGGCCCGTGGGCGGGGCCTCCACCGGGGCGGGGCCGTCCCTCCCCGCCTGCCCCCGCCCCTGGGCGCGTGAGGGCGGCGCGCGCGCGCGGGCAGTCGGGCAGCGCCCGGGCGGCGGCGGCGGCGGGAGCGCCCGTCCGTCCCCCTCCCCACCCGGGGACACCGCCCCCCTCCCCCTCAGCACCGATCCCCCCTCACTAGCGACCCCCGGGACCTCCCTCGGCACCGAGCGCCCGCTCACCAATAACCCCCTCGGCACCGAGCACGGGACCCCCCTCAGCACCGACCCCCCTCTGCACCGAGCCCCGGGCAGCGGCGACCCTCCCTCAGCACCGACCTCCCGGGATCTCCCTCGGCGGCTGCGGGCGAGGGATGCGCCGCGCCCCGACACCCAGGTGAGCGGCGGCGGGGAGCGGAGCGGAGCGGGGCGGGGGCCTCCGGTGAGTGCGGGCGACGGGGGCGGCGGGGCGGGGGTCGTGAGGGGAACCCCGGCGGAACCTCGCGGGGCCGGCGGGAGCCTTTGTTCGGCGCAGGGGGACGACTGCCCCCGGTGTTCTGAGAGCCCCCCGGTGCTCTGAGATCCCCCCGGTGTTGTAGGGTGCCCCTCACGCGAGTTCGCCCCACACCTATTCGTGACCCCACCAGTGGGTGCGCGGTGCGGAGCGGCCCCGCATCGCCCCTCTCGCACCGGGTTTCACCCCCCGGTGCCGCTCACCCCCGTCGCGGGTGGGTTGGACACGCAGGACGTGGAAAAACCAGCCTGGCGGGGGGGAGATTTATCTCCCTCTGCAGCCCCAGTGTCACCCCGAGCTGGGGCTCCCCCGCGCCCCCGGCCCGCGTGGGGCAGCAGCGCCGAGCCCACGGCGATGGGCATCGCGGCGGGAGCGGGTCGCGGTCCCCCGGGGCTCTGCCAGCCCCGCTACGCCACCCAGAGCCATTCCCCATTCCCCATCAGCGGTTCCCACCCCTCAGGATGAGGTATTCCTGCGTTTTAGCGCAGTGTTGGACTCTACGGCAGCTCCCGCCCCGGCACGCCGGACCTTTACGGGAGCGCTGCTCCTCCGGAGGTTAAAACAGCCGGTATTTGTTTCTGGAATTTTCCGAAATGTACCCAAAACGGCCTTTGCTTTATCGCCGCAAAAATAAAACCCCTCCGACGTGACCGGGTTAGGACCTGCCGTGAGTTCGGAGCCGGGCATTTTGCCGCCCTTCTGCTGCTGGATCGGCTCCCTCCTCCTCCTCCATCTGCCTTTTCCTATCCCGAAATCAAGCCGAGCTTAATAAAGTGGGGAGCGTGAGCTCAGCAGAAATCATGGCTTTGCCATCCCTCGCTGCAGCGCGGTCCCTGCCCATCGGCGGATCAAAAAAATAATCACGTAGCGGCAGAGGAAGGAGGAGATTTGCTGCTATGGGAGGAAAACCGGCGCGGTGCCTCGCTCAGTCGATAACCAGGCGCTGTAATAAATCGCTCTGTAAACAGACTGTTAGTTGGAGAATTGGGTTTCTGGCCGCCTCTAGTCTAGTTCTCCCGACTCTTTTCCCGACTGAGTGCTAGGAAATGATAGGGAAGCGTTGTCTTCCCGTGGAGAGGTGCGTGGACGTGGCGGCGATGGGCTGTGAATGCTTAAGCGCGACCTTACAGACCCGAGCTTATCCCTGGGCACAGCAAACTGTCTGGTCTGAGAGGTTGCGTTAGAGCATCTTCTCTTCAGCCTCTGGTCCTGCAGTCACGCCATAGCCACGATTTCCCCCACGTCCTTGAGTAAACTCGCCCATTTTGGTGACTTTTGTCATTTTTAAATTTTATTTCATTGAAATAAGAGGCTTTCCTATGCATTCTTCCCTCATTGATGCTCTTCCAGCCTTGACCCTCACTCCTGGTCATGATTTTTCATCCCCAAGAGCATTTTGGAAGCTGTCACTCCAGCTGCTGATGGCAGGGAAGGTAATTCAGCAGCTCTGGCACACGACTGATGAGCTTTTGTTTCCTGGGCTATCAATGATGATGCTAGTTTATATTTATTTATTTATTTATTGCAATCGATACATAAATCAGGGTGGCTTTAGAGATGTTTCCTCTGTATTGAAAGGCCCAGGGTGCATCAGCAGCATTTAGAAAGATGTAGAAAAAGCTTTATTTGAATTCATGTATTTAAAATGTAGCTCAGTTTTGCAGAGTTATTTCACCTTTGCATCCACTGCTGCTGTTAGGATTTATAAACCACATGTTTTTACCTTTTGTTTTCTTTTTATTTTGGGTGGGGAAGCTGCACTTTAAGATTTTAAGGTATCAAACATCTGATGTGACGTCTGCTGTTGCAGTATCTTTCCCAGACACTGGTACTAAAACACTTAGAGTATCAAACCTGTGGCATCTTTTGCTAGGAAAGTCTGAATGTTTTATGCTTGTATTGTTTTTATCTGGGATGTTCATAGTGATTTTGGTGAGCATTGATTGGGTTTGCAGGAAAATCTCTGAGAATGTGACTCACATGAGGTCGGGCACTTGGGAATCGTGAAATCCGAGTTACCTGTGCAATCTTCATTTAGCTCGTGTCGAGGTAGGGCTGGACTTGATATCCTCATCCCCTGCTTGATTTCTGTCAGGATTGAATCCAGGTCTGGATGGAAGAACCTCTGCAAGCCTGCAAGTCCATGGGGGAGTACTGGGAGCACAGGGATGGTGCTGGTCCCTCCACTGGTTTAGCAGCTTGGCACCACTGAGCTGGCGAGGAGGACCAGGGTTCACCATCACAGCCTTGAGACCTCATGTGACACGTGGTCCTGGAGCTTGAATACCTCCAGTCTGGGAAAACTGGGAGCAAACTTCCAGTGTCTCATGTGGGCCTACAAGGGAACGAGAGAGGGGCTCTTCATCAGGAACTGTAGTGACAGGAAAAGGGGAATGGCTTCCTGCTACCAGAGGGCAGGGTTAGATGGGATATTGGGAAGAAATTCTTCCCTGTGAGGGTGGGGAGGCCCTGGCACAAGTTGCTCAGAGAAGCTGTGGCTGCCCCATCCCTGGAAATGTCCAAGGCAAGGTGGGACCAGGCTTGGAGCAACCTGGGATAGTGGAAGGTGTCCCTGCACGTGGCAGTGGGGTGGGACGAGATGATCTTTAATGACCTTTAATGATCTTCCAACCCAGTGCTGGGATTCTGTGATTCAAATGTGACCTGAGAGTTTCTAAAGCCATTTGGGCTGGTTGGTTTTGGTAAGCATAGCATGATTGCTTTTACCCAGTTCTAGTTCTCCCTCCAAACTGTGCAACTTTTGAACTCAGTTCCTTTAAAAATGCATTTATTAGGGAGCAAACAAGGTTGTTGAACTGCTTGAAGCATCTTAGCCGGTCAAACTCGATTTCAAAAATTCCTCCATCCCCTCAGTTTGTAAATAAAGTGGGGTTGTGTTCCCATTTGCACACAAAACGCCACGGTTGAAAGCACATTCATTGTGGTGTTGATGAAGCTCCAGCGTGGTCCTGGGGTCCTGCTCCCCAGACAGGCTGGGTGCAGGTTTCAGTTTGGGAAGACAGTGATTTTTCTGTGTTGAGGTTAAAAGGGGTGTCTGATTTTCTCAGGCTTGGATCCCGTGTGCAACATTTGCTTCACTTCCTCTCGAGCGAACGGGATTTCTCCCTTCTCGGCAAAGTAAACATGAGCATAAATATTTAAAGGATCTCGGCTTAAGTTTGCAAATTCGAGACTTTCCCCAGCATTCCTTTGGACCAAAGCAGTGGGGTTGGAGATTTGGGAAGTGTCTGGGTACTTCCCTGCTCTGGGGAGAAGCTTATAATTCTTCAGGCTTGCTGCTGCAAAAATATTCCGACGTGTCCTCAGGTTAGGTGGGCTGGGATTATCACAAAGCTTGGATTTCCTATGGAACTGTAAGGATGAAATGCTACTGATGGGATGTCTATAGATCATCAAAATTGTTTTTCTGGAATTTTATTTTTCTTTTACACAGGCCAAATTTTTCCATAGGTTTCGGGTAGACGTGTGAAAGCACAGGTGTTGAGACTATAGAAACCAAATGTGAAACTCTTGCCAAATAATGGATAAAAACAGGAAAAAAGGGAAATGGAATAGTCTTTGTTTTCTCTGTGTGACTCTTTAATATCAAATCTCACTGCTGTGTTTGACAGGTCAGATGCCATGGTGAGATGTACATCTCACTCTTGTGATTGCATCAATGTGTCTTGGAATTAAACCTTTAAAATCAAACTCACCAAACGACTTGACCCCAGAAATTACAAAAATTCAGAAGGGAAGGTCGTAGAACAGGGAGTTGAACTCAGTTTTGTGTCTGTTTTTAAGGTATTATCCAGAGTTCAGCTCTGCTGGACCTCATGGTAGCATTGTTCTGTTTGGGGGGAGGATCCGTAGCAGGTGAATTTCCACAAGACTGTGGAAAAATCTTACAAGTGAAGTGAGAGCTCCATGTCTTTGCCACAAATGCTTTTTATTTCTAACAACCCCCCCATGATTTAATGCTCCATCCCCTGGAGGAATGTAGGATCCCTTGGGTTAGAAGGCACTTCTGGAGGTCACTTGGTCCAAGTCCTGCTTCCAGCAGGGTCATCTGCCAGGTCAGATTGGGTTCCTCGTGGCTTTAGGTGTCTAGTGCTGGTTGTCTTCCACCTGTGGTTTGAGGGTTGCAGGAAGAGAAGGGAAGGGAAGTGGTTTGAGCTGCGTTGGGTCCAAAGGGAACAGGATTCTACATGATCCACAGCAGCC